TTATTTGAATGACTCATGAAAAAATAAATCTTCCTTTGTGTTTGGTTGATTTTGAGGGGTATTGTTAATCACGAGTATTTGAACATTGCTCAAACCTTCACAGCAGATTTGTACAGTGAACAGCTGCAAAGAGTACAGTAGGCCTACATGGCAAATTAAAGCTAAAATAATCATCTTTGCGAATCTTCGAGATGTCGAGATGGCGACAAATAACGAACTTTGGGTTCAAAGTTTGTGTTAAGAAAATGAATATAATTTAATATTCAAATAAGTCAAATAATCTAATATTCGTACTTGGAAACTGGACTTTTTAGTCGCGATTCCAAGATTGTAAATCACAGTAAGGATGACATTTCGATGATAAAACCTTCTTCGGACGAAAAACTTCAAGAAAAGAAAGTTAAGAGACAGAAGTTTAAAGAAACGTCTTCAGACTTTGCAGTCTGAAAAAATTATCTTGTTGCATCGATCCAAAAAGTTGAAATCAAACCAAGTGAAAATTCTTCGTCCTCACCGGTTGCAAGTCTATTCATCCCCCGTAGAATTAAGCATCTTGTATTTAAATTACATAAATGTTTAAATCCGGAGACGTCTGGATACACCAGCTTTGAATTATATCTCTCTGAATCCATAATACATGTAATCGCAATCTCGTAAAACGCATTATTCGAAGACTTGTGTATGAAATTACAAAATTAGATAACTTTCCTCCTTTCCTTTAACGAATAACATTTAATTTATCTCCAATTACTTCCGGAAGAAGGAATGAAAATACACATACGCGAATCAAGTTTAAAAGTTCTTCTCAAAATTAACTGTTAGTTTGATGTAGACAACATGTTAGTTGTTAGTTTATTGTAAACAAAGGAGCGATTTCGATTTGATATAAGACCCATATGTCTTTATGTAATATTATATAATTAAAACAATTTCCAGGAACGTAATTTCAACTGAATATGCTAAGTTTGCGGAAAATAAGACGATTTGCTTTACAACGTCACTTCACGAATTAGTTAGATTTAAAAGCGAGTATCTGTTGTATAGAATTATAAAGATTAAAATGATAAAATTATTCTTAGAAATTTTATGAGAAATTTGTAATTATGAATATAATACTATTCGATAGGTATGTTACAAAACACTTAGGGGAGACCGGGGCAAGATCGGCATGTTAAGCTTTACTTAAATTTTCTGTAATAAATACTGCTGTAAACTAAAAAAAACGCTTTGCATATTTTCTATTGGAATGTTACCTTACTATAGAACTGGTTAAAATCAGTTTGGAAATAAAAATAATTAAAATAATTACAACTTTACAAGAAGAGAGAAATTGACGAAGTTGCCCCGGGTATAGGGGCAAGATCGGCAACTTCTCTCTTTTTGTAAAGTTGTAATTATTTTAATTATTTTTATTAAAGTTGCCCCTGGTATAGGGGCAACAGTAATGGGGCAAGATAGGCACGTATATAAAATTATGTTATTAACAATGTATAAGTTGGAATTCACTATTAAAACAAAGAAATACAAATCCAACACCCATTTAATATTATTACAACGAAATGCAAGTTCAAAGACATATATACATGAATAACAAATGCAAACATGTTTTCATTTATCATCTGTTTGATTTTTATCCTTTGCTTCTAATGTGGCTTTATGTTGCCGATCTTACCCCGCTAGTCATGATTTCGAAACATTAAGTACAACCCTGAGAACAGAATGCCAAGCCACGATCTGGCCACGTGAATAAGTTGAAGTTACATCCTTCTAACAGGAAAAGTAACTTTCGTTATCATGGAATTATAACAAAACCTGCCAATTCAATATAAATGGAAAAAAAATATTATATGGAATTGAACGAAAATGAAAATTTGCTTGATAATTCAACTACGCTTGTTGGAGAACAATAAAAACACTACACTCAACAAGCCACCAATAAAACTCAACTGCCTAACCTATAACCAAAGTCTCCTTTTAATTTGTTTTTAAAAAAAAGCGCTTGACAAACTTGCCCCGTATGCCGAAGTTGCCCCGGTCTCCCCTATACTACGTAGAAGCTGTAAGCAATACTCCCCTCAAATCTCCTCAAAACAAAAACGTTAACAATTTGTAAATTTAAGGAACTGAATTACAATACAGATTTGCAATTATTGAAAATATTTGCTAATAAATTATCTTAAATTAGCTAAAATAATTGACAAAATTGTCTTAAAATAAATATAATTTATTCTAATTTTATCAAAGATAGTTTCATTACAAGTTATAAATTGTCACTATAATAATTCAATGAATTAATTATAATCTGAGAAAGAACAAATTATTGAAAAGTCCACAGAATGATCCAAAAATTTCTTTGAACTTTTAAACCATTTTAAAAACATTATTATAAAAGTTTTTATTGGTGTCATCTTTTTTCCGCAATGTCAATGAGTCGTCAAGACAGAGGAAAAAATTAAAATTCGAGAAGTCCGTTCTCTTTCTTCAAATAAGCTTACTTATAAAAGATTCAGTTTTCCTTAGAAAATATTTTGTATTTAGAAGAATTATGAATATTTGTCTAAGAGGCCTATTAAAATATACTGCTGGCCATTAAAATTGCAACACCAGGAAGGAATGATCATACGAACGTTAAAATCATATGAAAGGAAGAAGAGGTTGGAATATGCAAGTGATTAGTGTTTCAGCGCATTTAGATGATGCAGGAGGGACAAATGACATCTGAAGCACTGCATAAAAGAAAAGTTGTGCAGTGGATTTCTCATTCGAAAATCGCTTTGTAAGGTCGGGGTTTCATCAGAATATCGTGTTATGCCTCGAATAAGAAGAAGAAATGCTTATCAGCAAGTGTCGGAATTCGATAGATGCAGGATCGTTGCCTATCGAGAGTGTGGATTATCGTTCCGTGATATTGCCACTCGCACTGGTCGAAACCCAACCACTGTCATGCGAATATGGAATCGATGGGTTGCTGAGGGTCTTACTGAACAGCATGCAGGATCTCAACGCCCTCCCACGACTAACGCCCGAGAGGACAGACATACTGTGAGGTCGGCCGTGCAAAACCGTACAACCACCAAGTTAAACACCAAGTTAAAGAGATAAGAGAGCTGTCCGTTCGTGGTTACGGACTTTGCCCTATTTGGAAATGGAAAGAAGGAGAAAGCAAGAGGTCAAAGTGTGAAAAGAAAGGGTAATAGTAAAGTTTTAACGGAAGGCATGGGAGGCCCCATTGGTGCCTGTATCACATTTATTGAAATAAAACTAGAAGATTACAATATGTTTACATAATATTTTAAGTGGTTGTCATAGAATACAAACATTGAAGACTTGTGACAATTACAAAGCAGCAGGAAGCAGTTGATTTACAGAATTGGAAGGTGCAACCCAAAAACCGAAGGGTTACCAATGACAATGATGACGAGAAACTAAGAAGGAAACAGTTGTAATTGTTACAAATTTTAAAGATAAAGAGTACATTAACACAATTGTAGCGTTTTTGAGGAGAGTGGGAGGCCAATAGAAAATAAACACCAATTGGCATAAATCACCATTCCGAACAAAATTAAACAGAATTGGCAGCTGGGGTACAACAAAATGTACCGGACTACAGATGGTGGCCCAACCGATACCAACAGAAATAAAACAGTGTTACAATACATTACACAGCACTGCCGGTGTTTACAGGAATGTTATATAACGTACATTTACCATAATTATTTTACCCGTTTCCTCACCTCCTGTTCCACGAAAGGCGTATCTTTAGGCTGTAGCCAGTTAGTTGGTAGAACTGGTGGTCTCTCTACTGAAGCTATTGGTGCTTAGAGTCTTTGTTTTATACACAAATTGCGTTAGCCTTCTCCACAGTTTTTTGTTGCTAAATACTTCCGCTGGGTTTGGTGGCCAGTTCTGTTTCTTTATGAGGCATTCGCCTATGAACGGGAGTCTGTCGTCGTCGTCGTATTTTGAGCATGTGTAGAGGAAGTGTTCCGCTGTGGCCTCACTGGACTCATCACAATCGCAGAGGTTGTTGTCCATTTTACCGAAGCGGTGGAGATAGGCATGAAAGTTGCCGTGGCCGGTCAAAATTTGGGTAGTATCGGCATTTGGAGTGTAGTGTGTGGCCTTGACACGGTGAGTAATAGATGGAATGAAGGCGTAAGTTTTCCTCCCTGTGTCTGCATTTTCCCATTCGTGTTGCCACTCGTTGAGAGCTAAGTTGGTAAGCTGGTTTTTTAACCATAAATGAGGAAGTTTCTTGTAGGATGGTTCCCTGTTCAGGATGCAAGCCTTCCTAGCTAGTTTATCCGCTAGTTCATTGGCAGCTTGCCCCGTATGCCCAGGGATCCAATTGAAGTGGAGTTTTCTGATCTTGCTGAGGTTGTTGGCTTCGGAGATAAGATTGGCAGAAAGGCCGATATGCCTCTTGCCATTCGTGAGGATACTAAGGGCCGTTCTACTGTCCGTGTAAAGGCATATAGTGCCCTTGAACTTGTGAATATAGTCTGTAATGTGGTTGATGGCTTTGAGTATCGCCCATAACTCAGCTTGGACATTCGTGCAGTGGGCCGCCATTTTGGAATACGCCTGATATTTAATCTTGTTTTTGTTATCCATTATTGCGACTCCTGCTCCCGTACCTTCCTCACCCCTTGAATCATCCGTATAGATGCACCATGTTGCCCAGGTGTGGTTTTCCTCGGGATCGAGACATACAGTGTACCCTTGTGTCTCGTAAGGGTGGTTTAAGTCTACCTTGTTTTGATTTGTACCATCTAGGCCGTTTGCCTGAATGTCGGCCAAAAACCGTACAACCACATCACGGACCATTAGTCAGGAAATGAGCTTGTTTGCAGTATCTGCTTGTACGGTGCGACGATGTTTGAAGCAGTGTGGACTGTCAGCACGGCGACCATTACTTCGGCTTCCCTTGACAATGCAGCATAGAGAGAGACAGAGACTCTGGTGCGCCCAACGACAAAGCTGAATACAGGAGTGGCACAATGTTGACTTTTCAGACGAGTCCCGGTTCTGCGTGCAGCATTCTGAGGCTCCGAGTAAGGTCGCTCCGAGTGTCTGGATGCTCGTCGCCTGCTTGCATTCGATATCGGCATAGGGGCCCTGCACCTGGTATAATGATATGGGCAGCCATTGGGTACATTACACGCACATCTCTAGTTCGGATCGACGGTAATTTGAATGCAGATCAGTACATTTCTGACATCTTACGTCCAGTGGTTGTACCCTATCTTCGAGGCCTGCGAAACGCCATCTTCCAACAAGATAATGCAAGACCTCATGTTGCACGTCGTGTTCTGACCTTCCTCAATACATAGGGTATTCGATTGTTGCCCTGGCCTGCACGGTCTCCAGATCTCTCACCAGTTGAAAACATCTGGTCATGGGTTGCTGAGAGAATGGCCCGCCACCCCTCTCCAGCTAATACAGTCGATAAAGTGTGGCATAGACTTGAAGCAGCATGGAATGAGTTGCCCATTTCTGTCATCCAAGTCCATGCCTAACCGGATAAGGGCAGTTTTAGCTGCCAGGGGTGGCATCTGTGTCTACTAATTTTACACCCCTGTAAACCCCAAAACTGCTTGCAAATTTAATCATTTTGTCTTCATGCCATACTGTTTACGTACAATAAATATCTTTTTTTTATTTGCTTTCCTTCTTGGTGTTTCAATTTTAATGGCCAGCAGTGTATTAACTTCCAGATATACCAAAAAACCAGATTTTTGTTTAAGAATTTAAAATAGACACAGATTTTTGTAATCTTCGTATAAATTAATAAATTTAAATGAAAATTTTGAAGTGACAATCACTTTTGCTAAACGTAATATGTTACAAAGAGATAGAACATTGAAAATGTATAAATGTAAATGGTATGACAAGCTGCTCGATTCGAAAATATGCGTAAAAATTATTCGAATAACAAATTCCAATAAAAATAGTTTTAAGTTATTTATTTCTTATACACTTTTTTCTTAATATAAGTGAAAGTCTTTTGTCCACTATAACCGATCTAAAAAATTCCAATCTGTTCTTTCATGTTAACAAGATCTCATTCTCACGAATAGCATTCTGTTTCGGATATTACAGCCATTAAATGTTAATTTTTAATATTTATAGCACCTGGTTTGAATGAATGAATAATGAGTATCACACCTCATTTGTCAATTATATGTCTTATTTATAATTTTCTGCTATTGATTTTGTCCATCATCATCTTTGGATGACATTCGACTTTACCAGGCATTTTCTTTACTCGTCCTTGTTAAACAATTAGTCTGATCACTTAAGTTGTCACTAGATAATCCATTTTTCATTACAGATGATTGATTCTTTCAAGCAATGCATCAATTTTGTTTTTAACAGAAGCATCCTCACTTTTATCTCAGTAAAATTTAAAAGTTTTAATGTTTTTTCTTGCGATTTTGCATCATTTTTTCGTTAATTAATTTTAAAACTTCCTCTGGAATGTTCAAAAATTCATACGTCAAGTTTAGTAATTACGGTTCAAATTCGTATTTCCGAGTGAAATTTTTTGAAAAAAGAAGGTCCTTCATTATATTAGCATTTCAAGTTTGTCTAATCATGTAAATTTTATTATTTAAATTAAAGATTTATTTATTAATTCTTTGAGAAAATTTACAAGGGAATTTTTTGTTTTTTCTGTTCCGTCAAAAATCATAGAATATTTGCATCCTGTAATGAATATTCTCTTTACTTTAAAAAAT